CGCGGAGCCCCGGCGGGCGGCGGCAGCGGCGGCGGAGGAGGAGGACGCGCTGTCACGGCATGGCCCCGCCCCCTGCCGCACACGTGGACGCACGCCATTGGCCGCGAGCCGCCGGCGCCCCCCTCCTATTGGCCAGCACCGCCGCGCCGTCTGATGACGTCTCAACGGCAGCGGAGGGGCGGTGCGGGGTGAGGGCGTGTGCGGTGGGTGGCCGTTGGGCCACGTCACGCGCCGCCCGTTGCCCTCACAGGTCGTTCAGCCAGTCTTGTCCCCGGCCCCAGCCCGTCCAGGGCCCTGCGCTGCACTCTCTCTAGCGTGTGCACATCCTTTCGGTAGCGGGGGCCGCAACCGGACAGGGCTGCAGATGCCGTCTCCCCAGTGCTGAATAGAGGGAAGAATCACTGCCCTCGATCTCCTGGCAACGCTCCTAACAATGCCGCCCAGGATCCTGGGAGCCCTCTTGGCACCGAGGGCACACTGCTGGCTCCTGTCCAGCTTCTCGTCCCCTGTCCCTCCAGGTCCTTGTCTGCAGAGCTGCCGCCCAGCCCATCACCCCCAGTGCCTGGGGTTGCTCCCTCCCCAGGGCCGAGCTTGTCGAACCTCGTGAGACTTCAGTCGTCAAGCCGTGAACCCTGCAGCAGGGACCAGCCTGCTGGCCAGGACCACCCTCCTTTTCCTTCCTCCGCTTGGAGGGCGAGGCGCTCCCCTGCAAAGCAGGCTACCGCTGGGGTGAGGCGGCTGTGCTGTTGGAGCCAGGCGGCAGCCGGATTGTCTTCACGTCAGCGCCCATTGGTGCCGCCATCGGGACTTGACATCAGCACCCGTCGTCTTGAGGTGGGAGCAAGGACATTCACTAGCGAACCTGCCATGAGTGCCATGGTGGTTCCCCAGCATCGTTCTGGGCTTGTCCGCACCAGGTGTTTCGGCTGCGCTGCAGCCTCGGCTGGCAGCAGGGAAGGACGATACTGGGACCCTCCGCGCCAGGTGCGCTCCAGATATTTACCAGCCCCTAGCCCTGCAGGGCCTGTAGGAATGTGAGAACCGCCATGGACTAGGTCAGGCCCACGTCCATCTTGCAGAGGGCTTGACCCCCTGACCTACTGACCTGGGGTTGAGTCTGAAGGGGACAGGGAGCTCCCTGTGCTGACCGTCCTGCCTGAGGAGGAGGAATCCCATGGCCTGGTGTCTTGCCTCACTCCTCCGTATGGACTTCAAGGTAGTGACGGCCATCTCACTGTGCCTGAAGTCTGTGCCAGTGGCGATCTGCCCCGACCACACGCAGTGCTGGGGAGAGCCATCTCCAACCATCTTTACTTGGTGCGGGACCTTCTTGAGCTCACTCGCTGGGAGGACCTGTCATTCACCCTCCTGTCCCTCAACCAGGAGAAGGTTTTTGACAAGGTGGATCGCAGGTATATCACAGGCACTCTCAGGGCTTTTGGCTTTGCTCCCCACTTTGTGCATGGCCAAGCTGAACTGGATGCTGACAGAGCCCATCCCGTTCAAGCGGGGAGTGCATCAAGGTTGCCTGCTGTCAGGCCAGCTCTACACCATCCTCCCCCTTTATGCGGCACTGGTCAGGCCGCAGTTGGAGTAGTGCGTCCAGTTCTGGGTGCCACACTTCAGGAGGGATGTGGACAGCATGGAGAGGGTCCAGAGGAGGGCCACTCGCATGATCAGGGGACTGCAGGGCAGGCCCTATGAGGAGAGACTACAGGACCTGAACCTGTTCAGCCTCCACAAGAGAAGGCTGAGGGGGGATCTTGTGGCCTGTTACAAACTGGTCAGGGGGGATCAGCAGGCGCTGGGGGAGTCACTGTTCCCCCGAGCACAGCCAGGAGTGACCAGGAACAATGTTCACAAGCTAGCAGAGGGTAGGTTTAGGTTAGACATCAGAAGGTGCTATTTCACGGTCAGGGCGGCTAGGGTCTGGAACCAACTTCCAAGGGAGGTGGTGCAGGCTCCTACCCTGGGGGTTTTTAAGAAGAGGTTAGATGAACACCTTGCTGGGGTCGTTTAACTCCAGTACTCTTTCCTGCCATGGCAGGGGGTCGGACTAGATGATCTTCTCAGGTCCCTTCCGACCCTAGAAACTATGAAACTATGAAACCCTTGAGCTCTTCCTGTGCGCGAACAGATGGCAGGACTGGTGCTCCAAGAGCTGGCCATGAAGCTGGTCCTGTCTGTGTGCGCCAATGACATGCTGCTCATTGTTCAGGACCCAGGCGCCCTGGTGCAGTTGGAGGCCTGCCAGTCAGCCTACTTGGTGGCCTCCTCTACCCAGGTCAGCTGGATCAAGAGCTCTGGCCTGATAGGGGGTAGTGGGTAGCAGGTGGGTTTGCTCCCACCTGTGCTCTAAGGCATCTGCTAGGATGTGGCCTTGCTGTTCTACCTGGGGGTCCACCCGTCCCTTAGTCACTCTGGAGAGCTGGCACCAATGAGAGGTCAGGGTGTCAGAGCAGCTGCAGTGCCTCTTCCTTTGTGGGAAGGTGCTGGTCATCAACCAGCTGGTCCTGTCCATGCTCTGACATCTCTTCAACACCCTGCCTGGGCCACCTGGGGGTCTCCAGGTATGGGCGCTGGGGCTCTCCTTGCCAAGGTCCTGCTGAAAAACCCATAGCTGGTGGTGCTGGTGATGGGGCTGCCCTGGGTGTGCCAGAGGATGGTCCTAGCCCCCATCATCCCTATTAGGGACCTCCTGGACTATACGCGGCAGGGGTGTGCAGATCCCACTGCATTGGCCTGGCACATGGAGCTGCCCACACTGCATGCACTCTGATGCCACTCCAGGAGGTCAAGGCTGTCCTGCCAAACACTGCCCTCGCCTATTGACCAGGGTCTGCGCAAAGGCAGTCCCTGCCCTCGGTATCCCCAAATCCTACAGAACTTGCCTTGGGGTCCCTAGGTTAGCAGGCTGCATGGCACTCTCCACCACACCATCTCAGCAAGCTGGGGGTTACCAAGTGCTTTCAAAACACTGCCAGCTCTATGCACTTGTGGTCTGCACCCTCCACCATCCTGTCCTTGTGTCCTGGGACACACTTGGTGAAGATGAGGGCCCCCAATGGATGAGCATGTATTCCACCTTGATCCCACAGACCACCGGGGACCTCAGCTGGCAGCTCCTGCATGGAGCTGTCACCACGGGCATATATCTGGCATGGTTCATGGTTTCCCCGGACACCTGCCCCTTCTGTGAGCAGAGGGAGACCCTGATGCATGCCTACCTGGAGTGCACCAGGCTGCAGCCCCTTCACCTCCTCCTCCAGAGCCTTCTGCTGAGGTGCTGGCTGTACTGCTTCTCTCACTTGTTTGTTTGTGTCCTCCCCACCCATGGCCCCACAAGCCCCAAGACCTCCTGGTTCTGCTGCAGACCTCCTAGTTCTGGCTAAGCTAACTATCTACCTGACCAAGAAGGAGGCTCTGGCCAGGAAGACCCCCAAGGCCATTTTCCTGTCCCTTGTCCGCTTACTTCTCTAAGCAGAGTTTCACTGAGCAGTGTCCACTGGCTCTTTGGACTCATTCAAGGGCCAAAAGGCAATGTCTAGCATGCCCTGCTGAATGTCCCTCCTCGGTGCACTCGTTATAGACCTTTGACCTTCACTCCCGTCCCTATTTTTCCTTTAGTTGTCTCAAGAAATCAGTGTTATGTCTTCAGTGGCCTCCCCCTTAGAGGAGGTTTGTAGTTTTACTTGGTGGACCTAGGCCCACACCAATGGCATAACAAATAGGTCTGTGTCACAGCTGCAAAGAATGGATCCTGAAAGAGAGTGACCTGGGTCTGACCAGGGTCTTCCCCTGTTCCTCTCTCCCTTGCAGCCTCCAGCCTTTAAGGTCCAGGAAGTTCTGATTCAGAGGCTGTGTCCCTCACTCCCTGCTCAGTAGCTCCTGGTGTCCCTTTCCTCCAGCGATGTGTCCATCCTTGCTTGACTCAAGCTCTCTGAGTCAGTGTCCACCACCTCTGATGGCAACGAGCTCCACACTTTAATGCCAACAGAACTTCCTTGTGTTCATTTTGAACTTACTACTAGTTTCATGTTGTGACCCCTAGTTCTTCTCTTGTAAGACAGTCAATAATAACTCCCTGTCGACCTTCTCTTCACATTTAAGTGTCTTGTAAACCTGTATCGTGCCCCACTTCAAGCACCTCTGATCTAAACCAAACAGGCCTGGCCTCATTAGTCTCCCCTCACACAGAAGTCCCTTCATAGCACTGATTATCCTTGTTGCCATTCTCTGGACCTGTACCACTAGCATAGACTCCAAAGCCACACTGCAAAACCCTTCTCTACACCATCATGTCTCCGTTGTCCCACTGCAGTGCTCTGCCTGGCCCGTTCTTAGGCCTTTTGGGCTCTGGGTCTTTTGTGCTGCCCAAGTGGAGCTGGTTTAATTCCTTCCCAGCAAGTTGTGGGAGAACCTGAGTGTCCTCAGGAGAAGGGGAAACATGGGACGGGCATTGGAGGATTGTCAGCATTTGTGGGATCCTGGACCCTGACTGCAGTGGGGCATGTTACCAGCCTGGGCTGAAAGCACTGCTTAGCCTGGGTGAGAGGTTGATCCCTGTGGATGGGAGGGAAGGGGGATTTTACATTGTGAAAGTAAGACCTCAGGCTTATTCTGATGCTGCAAAGCACTCTGGGAATGTGTGCACCATAGTATAAAGCACAGTGTGCTGGCCTGTCAGACCATGGGTTTGGGTCAGGTGTAGTGAGTGGGAGCTGCCTGCGCCAGCACCACTCTGTGCCAGATGAACATTCCTGCCCCTTCACCCTGGCCCGAGGAGCCCT